GGAGCATAAGTGAACATGAGGCGGGGTGTGTGTGTGTGTGTGTGTGTGTGTGTGTGTACACTGTCCTGGGGGTCACATCTGAGCCAGAAATGCCCGTGGTTGGGTGGTTGCCCACCTTCCCATGGTGCTGGCTGCCAAGGGGGAGAGGTAGTGGTGGGCGCTCCAAAGTCAGATGGTGACAGGTATGAGCTTGGCCTTGCTGAACACCTGATGGCCGCCTTAGGTCCTTGCAAACAAGAGTGTTTTGTGGTCAGGCCTGGGCACCAGTATCCCTTGTGACCAGACAGAGCGTTTCCAGCTTGGACCTGCCCGCCGCCTGGCTCAGGTGAGGGTGCCTGTGGAAGGAGCAGCATGGGGTGAGAAGGTGCTCGCCGGTCTTTCATTCTGGAGACACATGGGGCTCCTTGGGAGCTGGCCACCTGCTGCCTATTTCCCCCTTGCCACAAGCCGTGGTGGAGCCTTCCTGGACCCAGGCGCCCAGGAACCATGGAGAGGATGGCAGTTTTGTGGCTCACAGTGCACTGGGGGTGGTTGGGGAACCCTCCATGAGTTGCCCAAGCCAGAAATGTGACCCACCACATCATGTCTGTGTCTGGACTCACTCTGGCTTCCAGGGCACTCTGGGCACCGCCACCTCTGGGAGTCCTTATAGTGGGCCTCCACTGGGGGTCCTTGTAGTGGGCTTCCACTGGGGGTCCTTGTAGTGCCAAGGAAGCAGGAGGTCATCCCTTTCTGGAGGTCCCCCTCCTGAGATACCCCAACTCTCAGCCCACCTCTTTTTCCCTTGCAAATTGAGTTTATTTCCTTGTAGCCTCGGACATCTTGGTTTGCTGACCCTCCTGAAAGTTCACGAAAAGCCAAGCTTTGTCATCTTTCCCTGCTGGAAACGAGAAACCTTTTACTGGGAAAGCCATCCCTGGCTGTGGTGGTGGGGCATGGGGGGCAGGAGCTCGGCATGTGTGCTCATCTCCCCATGGTCTTATGGCTGCCACCACACAGTCCATGCGCACAAGAAGCTGTGCCACCCGGGGATTGGACAGCTTGTTAAAGAACAGACAAGTTGCACCCTTGGAGGAGGAGGGGGAAGTCATTCAGGCCGTCGAGCTCGTTTTAACTCACGGCCACTCTGAGCAACAGAGTGCAGCCTCCCCACCGTCACGGTGCGTCTCGATGCTGCGTCCATTCATCGTTCATCGTACTGAGGGTCCTTTCACTGCCTCGATTTTACCATACACGATGTCCTCCTGATGGCATGTCCAAAGTATAGGGGATGAATCTCGTTTCCAAGCAACTGGAGGTGGGGTGGGGGTGTCTGGGGGTGGGAGGGGGAGGGAGAGAACTGGAAGCATGAGAGCAGGGGGTGGAAGATTGGAAGGTGGTGAGAGTGACCCAAGTAGGCGTTGCATGCCCCGGCTGTGTGTGCTGACCCTCTGAGCAAGGAGGCTGGTCGGTGCAGTGAGATGCCTCTGGGCTCTTATCAGTAGGGGACCAGAGGGACGCTGTGCTGACCCAAGGTCTGTGTCCTGAGCTGCTCCTAATCTTGAGCTGTAATCTGCCAGTCCTGCAATAAGCCCCTCAATTATGAGCACTGGCTTGGAGGTCTGTGGCCATTGCAGTGAAGTGGTGGGGGCGGTGTTGGAGCCCCTCAAAAGGCTGGTGTGGTGGTGATGTGTAAACTCAGCCTTCTAGGTGTCAGCCCTGGGCGGTCACCATGAAGTTGGAGGAGGTCACCCGGCGCAGGCCTCCATCTGTACATGCACGGTGGCAGGAGGCAGCTAGATGGGGTCCTCTCTGCTGGCTGACCTTTAAGGCCCCTCAGGTGCTGAGCTGCCCTGGGCCTTGCGGTATTGACCCCTCAGGCGCTGACCTGTGGCTGGTGTCACCAGCTGCTGCTGCTGTGGCCGCACCAGTATTGTGAGAGGTCCTGGCGACGGCTTTGAGGCTGGAATCCCTAGCCGACTGCCACTAGATGGCCACAAAGGCTCCCTGAGTGCCCGCTGGGTGCTGCTGGCTGTGAGCAAGGCACCAGCTTGGCCAGGCCCCAGAAAGAGTACATACCACAAACACAGCTACTCTCAGGTCTCAGCATGTGGTGGGGACCTGAGAGTGTAGACAGTGCCCGCCCCTTCCCCTGAGGGGCTCCTGGGTCTATGTCTAAAGCAGTGGTTCTCAACCTGTGAGTTGCGACCCCTTTGGGGGTCGAATGACCCTTTCACAGAGGCCGTCCCGACTCATAACAGTAGCAAAATGACAGTTATGAAGTAGCAAGGAAAGTAATTTTATGGTTGGGGGGGTCACCACAACATGAGGAACTGTATGAAAGGGTCGCGGCATTAGGAAGGTTGAGAACCAGTGGTCTAGCAAGGAAAGTAATTTTATGGTTGGGGGGGTCACCACAACATGAGGAACTGTATGAAAGGGTCGCGGCATTAGGAAGGTTGAGAACCACTGGTCTAAAGCAACAATATTCCCCAAACAAATTAATAGACATGCCCTTTACACGGGTCCAGCTCTGTGGGTCGGCCAGCTTCACGGTGATGTTGCATCCGACTGGACAGCAGTAAAGCCTGGGAACAGTGCGTCACCTGCAGCCCAGCAGCAGGGGGTCCTCAACGTGCTTTGGATGGCCACGTCCTTTAAGGGGGTACACTAGAACTTAACCACAGTTTTGAGTATCGAATATTTCTCCTACTGTAAACTTTCCTGTAGCTGAAACTTCATGAATACTCTTGCTTTCTTTTTAAATAGATGATTTTACTGAGGGCTCTTACAGCTCTTGTAACAATCCATACATCAATTGTATCAAGCATATTTGTACAAATGTTGCCATCATTATTTTCTGAACACATATTCTATTTGAGCCCTTGGTATCAGGTCCTCTTTCTACCCTCCCCCCTCTTGTGACCCCTTGATAAATTATTAATTATTAATTTCATATACCAAGCGCTGTCTCCCTTCCCCCATGGTTTCTTCCCTCCCTCCCCCCCCACCTTCCCCCTACCTTCCTGATATTGATACTCCTATTTCTGTTCCTGAGGGGTTTATGAATACTCTTTTCTTAGGGAAAGGTCCTGGAAATGCAATTGTAAGAGAACAGGCAAAGAGATATTAAAGTATTTGAAAATGTTCTGTTACCAAATCACTCTCCTCAGGGATGCTGTCGTGTGGTGAAGACAGAGTTTTTGTCATGCTGGCTGAGCCTGTACCCCCTCTCTGCCATGCTGAATGAGCCTGTACCCCCTCCCTGCCATGCTGTCTGAGCCTGTACCCCCTCTGCCACGCTGTCTGAGCCTGTACCCCCTCTCTGCCACGCTGTCTGAGCCTGTACCCCCTCTCTGCCACGCTGTCTGAGCCTGTATCCCCTCTCTGCCACGCTGCCTGAGCCTGTATCCCCTCTCTGCCACGCTGTCTGAGCCTGTACCCCCTCTCTGCCATGCTGGCTGAGCCTGCACCTCCTCTCTGCCATGCTGTCTGAGCCTGTACCCCCTCTCTGCCATGCTGTCTGAGCCTGTACCCCCCCTCTGCCATGCTGTCTGAGCCTGTACCCCTTCTCAGCCATGCTGTCTGAGCCTGTACCCCCTCTCTGTCATGCTGTCTGAGCCATGTACTCCACTATCTCACACTGTCTGAGACGCAAACCCGCCTCCATCTGATATTGTCTGACCGTGTACTCTTCTCATTTTCTGAGCCTGGCACTCCTCCCTCTCACCTGTCTGAGCTGGGCACCACTTTCTTTTCCTGTCTGTGGAGTCAGCAGGGTTCTGCCCTCACAGGTGTAAGTGTGTGTGATGGAGTCCAGTGCACTGCAGGGCTTTATCACTTGGTCATGGTAAAACCGAGGACGAAGCAGCCATGATAACCATTGTTGCCAAGTGTACAACTAACTCCGCACCACTCATCCCACCCATCATCACACTCCATGCCCATCATCACATCCATGCCCATCATCACACCCCATGCCCGTCATCGCATCCCCTGTGCCCATCACAACAACCTCATGTGTGTCACCCTCATACCTGCCAGGGGTTGCACAGTCTCACTTTTGACCTATGGTAGCTTCTTCATGTCTGACATAACCAGGGTCAATCAACTTTGATGGACAGGGTGCCCCAAGCTACTCGCCTCTATGGGTCCTGCTTACTCTCGGGGGAGCAGGGGTGCTCACTGTCCCTGGGCTGCATCCCCTGCAGAGCCAGGAAAGCTCTGTTTTGATGATGTGTGCTTCCAGCGATGCTCGGAACTAAAGTTCAGGATTACTGGGTGCCCACCTTCCACCTCCTTTCTAACCACGCATGGAAGGAATCCCAGTTCCCATCACACATGGGATGATGGGTTAGCTCAGTCCCTACCACAGTACCCGCACACCGGCCTCAGCAGACCTTGCCTGAGTGACCGCCCAAACTGATTGCCGAAATGCATCTGAAGGGTACTTTTGTAGTTGTGTGTGTCTTTGGGGTCGTTCCTGTTTACCTGGGTGCGTGTGTGCCGTCTCTTCACTTAGATGATAAAGTTCTTAGAACGTACCACAGTTTTCAGTTTTGAGGAATCCAGGGTGTATTTGGAAATATAGCATATCTTTTAGAAGAATTGCAACATGTAACACACGTATGAATGACCACGTTGACTTACTATGCTGCTCCCAGGGGTCCATTTGCCTAAGCCATCTCCCCACAGGGCCCCCCACTGCTGGTGGAGGCCCGTGTGGGCTCATGTTTGAGTGTAAATATCTGGCCCCCCGATGGGTGGCACCTCAGCTGTAACAACCCTGAGCTTCCCACTCTAGAGGCCTTGTGTCTGTGATTTGATCACCAGCCCCCGACGCCCAGACCTCTGCTCCAGGGCAGCCATCTCTGCACTCTGACAGTTGAGTGTGTGACATAGGGGTCAGTGCGTGGCGTGGGGTCCAGTGCATGGCATGGGGTTGAGTGTGTGGTGTGGGGTCCAGTGTATGCGCACTCGGGTTCAGGAAGGCCCTGAGTGACACTCATTGTCAATTTCAGGTGAAGGACCTCACGAGGTTTCTGGACCCCGGCGGGCTCGGGGTGATCAGCTTTGAGGATTTCTTCAGGGGCATTGCGGCCATCAGGGATGGAGGTCAGTATCCCCCAACCTCCCAGATGTCTCCCCTCTGTGTCCGCTCCTCAGCTGCTCCCGTCAGAAGGGACCCGACTCACCCAAGATGCCAGCTAGCGAGTGCCCTCTTGGCAACGCTTTTCTTGTGAGAAATCTTAATCCCCCACACACACACACGGTTGAAAGGATTGTGAAAGGATTGGTGTGCAGTGAACACACCCATTCTGTTACAGTCTCTGCCATCTGTCCATGTGCCCTTTTGTCATGGTGCGTGTAATGCGTGTGCGTGTGCATGTGTGATGTGAATGTGTGCATGAGGGGAGATGGAGAGCGTGCATGGTACATGTGGTATGTATGTCTGTGTGTGTGGCGAGTGTGTCTTATCTAACTGAAGTATGTGTCTATATGTTTGTAGGGTTTGTGTGTGGGGGTGTGTGTCATGTGCATGTGTGAGGTGTGTGGAGTGCTGTGTATGTGTGGACAGCGTGTGGTATATGTGTCTGTGTGTGGAGTGTGTGTATGTGTGTGTGTGACACGTGTGTGAGATGCATCTGAAATGGGTCACCAAGGCTGGCTGCCAGGAACTTGCCACCTGCCCTGCCGGGTGGCCGGCAGTTTGGGTGCTATGTCTGGCTGAGCACTGCCTCTCCCGGATGCCGGTGAAGAGAGCCACCGGTGTGCATCGCTGAGTGTTCCAGGTGTGACAGGTGCGGCTGCTGCTGTCACTCGGTGCCGTGTGTACCCCAGGCTTTTTCATCGTTTGGGGAAGGTACCTGGCAGTGGGCAGGGTTAGCTCTCCCTACAGGGTGGGCACTGGGACAGGACTTCTGAGTGTGGGACCGAGGTCACCATCCAGCTGCCCTCTGGTCATGTTCTGGCTGGGGCTCTGTTGGCCAAACACTGCCAGTACCTGCTCTCTTGCTCCTGGGGGCAGCGTGCCATTGGAGCCATCATAGGACACATGAGGGTCTCGGTGCATGCGTACCCTCTGGGACATGCTCGTGCCCTAGACCCCGAGCGTGAGGGGGCAGGTCCCCATGACCTCAAACCTACCTGTTCATCACAAGACGTCCCTCACTGAGAGTGAGGTGCAGTCACAGAAGATGAGACAGAGCAGGCAGGAGTAGCTCAGCTGGCCATGCTTCTGCAGCCACCACAGTCGTGCCTCTGGTTTTGTGGCTCAGGCCTGTTTCAGAAGTGTAAGGCTGGTGTGTGTGTGCTTGTGGGCGTGTGTATTTCTGTGTGTGCGCATGCAAACTTGTGCCCGTGCAGCCCCACCACTGCCGGTTTCTAAAACTTAATCACCGCCTCAACCAGAAACACAGACTCCACGTGACACCCCACCCCTCTGCCCTGGTCACCACTGGAGTCCTTTGTCCTTCAGTGTCTCCTGGGGGGGCAGGTGTGTGCACTCCTGGATGTCGGTCTGCCTTCTCTGTGGCTTCCAGCCCCAGCCCCTCGTGGCTGTCAGGACTGCACCCCCTGTGGGCTACTGAGTCAGGCCCTGCTGTGTGGGTGACCCACCAAGTGCCCCCCCCCCCCACCTGTTGTTGACACACTGTGACAGTTTTAGATATTAGTACCTGGCCCTATAGAAGCTCGGCATTTTCCTGGAGCTAGACCCCTTCTTCTTGTCCTCCCTGCTGCTTGGTTTTTCCAAGGAGGGAAACCAACCCTGTCCTGTCCCCAGCCAGCCTCCTTCCATGCAGGATGGGCTCTGGCCATGCACCCCTGCCTGAGGCTGGCACGGGTTTTTCCGGGGCCTGGCTGGGCTGGATGCCGTCTGCCTGTACCTCCGATCCCAGGAAGCTGCTCCTACCCTGCTAGGATGTGCAGCCTGCTGCTGTGCCAATGCCTGGCTCTCCCTGCAGATGCCGAGGGTCCCCTGTATGGCGTCATCCCTGCCCAGGATGAGGAGGGTCCGGCCTGTCCTGATGAATTTGACGACTTTGTCACCTATGAGGCAAGTGTCTTCTCCAGAGCTGGCAGAGAGGCAGGGTCTTGAAGGTAGGGGTGGAGGGGTGGGCTTGGAGTTCTGGATTGAGGGGGTGGAGCTCGTGGGATGTGCACACAGTATGTAACCTGCAGACAGTCCGCAGGCCTATGTGCTCATGCGTGGGGTGTGGGCATGAGGGCAGATACCGTGTCAGGGAGGCCTAATCAGCCTCCAGCTTCTCCTGGCCAGATGCCCTGCTGCCCAGTGACTTGCTGGCTGGGGGGTGCAGCATCAAGTCGCCTCCCTGGGGCCCACAGTGAGTCGGTTCCTTTGGCAGCTCCAAGCAGAATTCCGGGGAAGCGTGTGTGTGTGTGTGTGTGTGTGTGTGTGTGTGTGTACACTTGGGGTCTCCCTGGAGGGTGGAGGCAAGGCTGCACAGTGGGGACTTGTGGGGGGGGTGTTGCTTAGCCTGTCCCCACCCCACGATCCTGGCTCCTATGAGGTGCTGCCTGCCCCCACCCACAGCTGGAGGAGAAAGCCTCCCCAGCAGAAGCACCGGCCAATGTGCTTTCTGTACCGAATCTTATCAGAAAGGCCAAAGTCAGAGACAAAAGCCCACTGTCCTGAGCCCCATGTCAGTCTGTCCAAGGTGGAGGACGCTTCCTGAACTTTGCTCCTGCCCCTCCTGGAGGCCAGCAGAGCGTGTCTGCAGCAGGTTAAATTTTGTCCCAGGGAGGGATGAGCCCTCGAGGAAGCACGCAGGGTTCACAGAGACCCAGCCCCCCACTCACTCAGGAGGGCTCTGCTGTTGCCCTCATCCCATAGAAGCCGCCCCCCTGGGCTTGGGCACTGGCCTCGTGTCTGCGGTGAGTGTTGGGACTGCGGGGCGTAGCCTGCTCTGCAAGGGGCCCCAGGGAGGAGGGGGCCCGGCTGGCTTCTCACCCAGGGCCTCCGTGAGCAGGACTAACACAGCGTGTTTATTCTCGGGTGTCATGTGTGCGGGTTGTAGAAGGGGGCGGCTGGGCTCCTGGACCAGGCCAGGGCCTGTTGGGTGCAGACAGCAGTGAACATACCTTGGGGAGACTGTGAGTAGAAGGAATGGATATTAGGGAACACCCTGGGTGTCCGAATCCCAGACCTTTAAGGAGAGGCTGGTCGGGCCTCAGCCCCAGGGGAGAGCCTTGTTGCCTTGTTCCTGGCCATGAGCTACCTGCTGCCCACCTCCAGGTGCTGCTTGGAGTGCGGAGCATTCTGCAGAGGCCTCTGGTGAATGTCTGTAGCGTCCCTGTGCAGGGATCCCCAGGTGCCCGGGGTCTGCCCCACTCCAGGGGGCAAGAGTCGGGGTGCTAGGAGCTTCTGCCCTTCTGTATCTGACTAGAAAATTCTAGCATGGACATGTGGGACAGTACGGGACCAGGCACCCAGCTAGTTGATGGGTCTGCAGACATCCATTTCTGGGCCCCGTGCCATGGTGAATGAGTGCCCTCAGTCGGAGGAGGGGCCCAGCCCTGGACGGATGAGCTGCCAGCAGATCCCACACCCAATGGAGGACACTGTGCCCTGCCCACACGCTGGTCCTCTAGCCAAGTCCTCCCCCCAGGCGTGGGCATGGCCGGGGTCCCTACTGACCACCTGTGCAGACTAGGAAAGTGTTGCCTCTGGCGCTGCCCGGCCCGGGCTGGCACTGCTGTGTCAGTCAGTGTGCGGGCGGGCAGCTGCTCTCAGTAACTGTCCAGGCAGCTCGCCGGAGCTTCTTGTGGCCCAGCTCTGGCCTTGGAGCTGCCCGCTCTCCCTGCCACTCCTGCCTGCCTCAGACCGGCCTCTGCAGCCGAACCAACCGGGCCGGGCGTGAGTGCCTCTTCCTTGGGGCGGGAGAGGGCTGCGGGCCTGGCCCACAGAGGTCTAGGTGAGGGGGCCCCAGAGCCAGTGATCTTTCAAGAGGTTTCCCAGCATCAGATCTTGGACAGACTGTTCCGAGTACCCCCCTCTTACATAGACTCGGTGACACCCTTCCAGTTTTCAGTCACCCTTGCCTGCCTCTCTGCACTGTTTCCCCCGTAGACCTGACCTCACTGCCCCAACTCCTGTGCAGCCCATGTGGGCCCGGTTCCCCCAGGGCCTCTCCACACTGCAGCCAGACTGGGTAGCCTTTGGGGGACAGGGTAGCCGAGCAGCTGGAACCTGCTCCCTCCCTGGCACACCTGCTTCTCAGCTGGCTATTCTGGCTTTGGGAGTAGGGGGGTGCGAGGGCTTTGAGAAGCCACTGGCCAGGCTGTTCACAGGCAAGGTCTGCATTTGTCATTCCGCCTTACAGGTGTGGTGACTGGCCCCTTATGGGAGAGATGTGTCCAAGGTCACAGATGAGCAGGGGCAGGGCCTGCGACTGGACCCTTGTCTTCTTGGGCCTACGCTGCTGCCACCCCGCACCCCCGAGTCTCCTGCGGACTCAGCCATTGTCTCTGCCAGACATGCCGTGGGCCCTGCTGCTCTGCTGGCCCCAGACCCTGCTCACCCGTGCCCTCTCTCCCAGGCCACGGAGGTGACAGACAGCGCGTACATGGGCTCCGAGAGCACCTACAGTGAGTGTGAGACCTTCCCGGATGAGGACACCAGCACCCTGGTGCACCCTGAGCTGCAGCACGAAGCTGACGCGGACAGCGCGGGCGGCTCGGCTGTGCCCTCTGAGTGCTTGGACATGGCCCTTGAGGAGACTGACCCTGGTGCCCTGCTGCTGCTGCTGCCCGGCAGGTCTGTCCTGGGGCTATGGGGGGTTGGGGGGAGGTTTCGGCAAGAAGTCTACCTTACGGCCGTGGGTGAGTGGGTGGGGTGTTGGCAAAACACCCAGCTATCAGGTTGGTTCCTGGAAATGCACAGCCTGGATTGGGGTCAGGGGGTCATTCAGAGACCATTAGAGCAGGAGGGCCACTTGGGCCAGGCCCTGGCTCCCCTGAGTTGCCTGCTTGGTGAGCTGCTCCTGCTGGGCCAGGTGGACTTTGGCCGAGATGAAGAGGACACAGGGCCTTTAGGAGCAGGGTTCTGTGTCCGCGTGTGGCGTGCTGCAGGGAGGCACCCAGGTCTCAGGTTGTAGGCAGCCTGCTGGTTCTTCTGATGGAGAACGAGAGGTGGAGCCCCCCTGCTGGGCCCTTGGCCTCAGCCCTGGGCAGGGGCCCTGTTCAGTGGGGTCCTGCCTTCTGTCCCTTCACAGCTGTATGCCACCCTGTGTTGTGGCTGTGGTGTGCTGACCGAGCCCTCTGGTTTGGTTTGGTGGGGCATTTTGCACTCCAGGTCCTATGAGAGAATGTGTGCAGTGTTTGTTCCCGATCATGTGGTTGCCCTGGCCTCGCAAAATGCTCAGTCTGTCTCTCGATGCTGCCTCCTTCCCGGGATGTCGGGAGAACCTGCTTGGGAGTCTCTTTCCAGTCATTCTTTCCCTCTCCCTCTCCCTCTCCCTCTCCCTGTGGGGTTTTAAGTCGAGGAGAAGCTGACACATGACAGAGTGACCCACGGTATTGTGTGGGCCTGGCTTCTCTGGAGAATCAAACCACTGGTGCTCATCGATAGAGAGAGACGAAGACGACTCACGGTGGTAGAAGCCGGCACACCCAGTCCAGTCTCAAGTCAGTGGGTCTGACGTTAGGCTGGAGGCTTCTTTGACTGGTGTGGCTTCAGGGCCTGAGGAACCCTGGATTGTCAAGAACAGCACAGTCTGCAGAGGTCAGCAGGTCAGGCTTGTGATTGGACAGCCAAGTAGATCCAAGGTCAGCAGGTCAGAAGGCAGGTTCTGAGGGCTCCTGGAATTGGCAAGCAGTATGGCAGGCTTATGGCTCAAGTCCAGAGAACTGGAGGTCCACGAGACAGATGCAGGCCCAGACCCACAGCGTCCACTTATGTAGGAAGTAGGCCACGCTCCTTCAGGCTTCCTGTCAATTGCATCAGGGCTGTGAACTGAGTAAGGAGGTTGCATCCACCCTGATTTAACAGTTGACTGGCTGCTCACAGCACTGCAGGTGACCACGTGTCTTGTGGGGGGTTACTAGGCCTTAACTGTCAAAATCACTCAGAGTCCTGGTGTAGTCAGGTTGACACACTGGACTCCCACAGTCTACGCCTAGTCAGCTCAGCACCTGTACCTGGCTCCTTACCCCACATGTAGTCTCCGAACGCAGACAGCAAGAAAGTCGTCGTACTTGCACTTCACGTGCTGCGGCTAACACATGTACAGCTGCAGACAAACTGCCCTTCTGCACCTTGTATTCTATGAGACAGTAAAATTAAATATGTCAGCAAGGGTTGAAGACGGTGCCTCACTGTTGGCTTGTAGCCTCTTGCTCCCAGAGCCTCCCTCTGGTCAGGGTCCAAGCTCAGGGTGCCTGGGAGCTGTGGCTGGGAACGTACCCAGACTGCAGATGTGTTCAGGAGAAAGGGGGTTTCAGAGTGCCTGCCCCCGTATCATCTCACTCCCTGTCTGTCCCCTCCCTGCATGGCCCTGGGGTGTGTGCGTGCATGTGTGTTCTGCAGGAGCGTGGCAGGCCCAGCCCCTGGCGGCCACATCTCTTCTGATTCGCCCCGCAGACCTCACTCTTACAGCCCCCCCATCGTCACGGTGATCGGCGGTGAGGAGCACTTCGAGGACTATGGCGAGGCCAGTGAGGGCGGGCTGTCACCAGAGGTGCTGTGCAGTGATGAAGGTGGCTGTCGCGACCCGGCCCTGCTCACCCCCAGGTAACACCCTCGCTCATCGCCTGATGAGAGAGAACTTGCTTCGGGGATGTTATAAAACCAGTCACTGCCAGCTCTGGGGTTGCTGCCTACGTGGGAGTGGGCTAGGGCACCACAGGCTCCTGGCTACGGGGCCTGGTACAGCTGCTCCCCGTGACTGAGCAAGGGCTTTGCGCCCCAGCCCTCTTTCAGGAAGTGACGATGTGGGCTGCTGTGGCTCACTGTGGAGCCCACCCTGGGCTGGCTACCCTGCGCAGCACCTTGGTTTGCCCGAAACAAGTGAGTTGAAGTGAAACCTGGCACCTAGGCCAGGAGCTGACGTTGCTTATCCTGCCCATGAGACCCGTCTGGCCAGCACCAGCGCACAGTGGCCGCCTGGGGTCCTGTTGTCAGAGTCCTCCTTGTCCAGCTGTTGCCACAGCCAGGAAGGGGCCACAGGCTGAAGCTGAGGGTCCAGCCTCGGCACCTGTGCTCTGTGTCCACACCAGGCAGCGGCGACACAGCCCTTCACAGGAGCCCCAGGCGTCGAATAGCAGCAGCTTTCCACTCAGCTCCCCGTCCCAGGTGACACTGCTTGTCCCCCAGGTGTCCCCGTCCCAGGTGACACTGCTTGTCCCTAGGTGTCCCTGTCTGTAGTATTAATTTATTGGGGGTGGGGGGCCAGCCCCACCTGCTGCTACCTCAGGTTCAGTAAGGCACAATTGTACAGTTGAAGTTTATAAGTATTACATAAAATCATCGAGACCATGAGAGGTAGAGGAGAGATATTACAGTAATGCAGTCAGACACATTACATGGTAGCATTGCTCACCTCAGCCCAGCTTGGTGGTCCATGTGGAGAGAGGGGGAAGGGAAGGAGGACCGGAGAGGAGACGGGGAAGAGAGGGGAGCGACCAGCAAGAGAGAGAGGCCTGAGAGAGAGCCCTCTATTGCTAGCCCCGACCTATTTACCTTTTGGGGCCATGCAAGCCCACTAATTACAGGTAAAGTCATATGTCACAGGAAAGGGTTGCACTATAGGTTACACAGTAATGAGGGGGTGGTCTAGGGACATACACGCAATAGGAAGAGGAGGGATTGGGGGTATACATGTGGCAAGATGGGGGATCCTAGATTCAGGACCGGCAGCTTAACTTTGACCTGTTCCCTGCGACTCCATAGGAACCACTATCAGTAGGGTGTGAACTCCTCCTACTGGAGCCTGTCCATTGTCCCCAGCAGCAGGGAGCCGGGCTCACTTCAGTCTGGCAACTGATGGTCCTGGGGGGGGGGGAATGCCTACCCATCTGACCTCCCCTCACATCCATCCCAGGTGGCACTGCTTGTCCCCCAGGTGTCCCGTCCCAGATGACACAGCTCTCTGCCCAGCTCCCCCCTACCTACTCTATGGTGGCACAGCCTGGCGTGCAGGGCTGGTGTGCCCACACTGGCACTCATGTCCCTGTGTGCAGTACGCCCTCTGTCACGCAGTGAGTTGGCCATTTCTATCTCGGGTGACCTTTGCACTGTCCTCCTTCCCACTGCTGACTTCTGTGTGAGTCCAGCTTCTCCACCAGTGTCCAGAGCCCCAAGTGCCGCCCTCCCTGGCCGAGGCACAGCTGTCACTCAGTGTCCCCAAGGCCGCCTGACATCACGAGAAAGTGGCAGCTGAGTCTGTCACCAAGTCTGGCCCCTGGGGCTGCAACTGAAGGGCAGGCACATGAGTGGCAGCCTGTGTGGTCACATCAGTGGCGTGGTCAAGTCCCTTCTCCTAAACCCGGGGCCTCACTGGCCTTGTGATGGCCCTCTCAGGCTGCACCTGACGGGCTGGGGGCGGGGAGAGGGTGTGGACCAGGTGTGCGCACGAGCCCTTTGCCACTCAAGCTGCGGTGTCTCACCAGGGCTGAGGGCGCGGACAGTACAGGGGGCTCACCCAGGCTGGCCACCCACTCAGCCCAGGCCCTCGTCCCCCATGCACAGCCCCTTGTCCCATGAGCCCCTGTCTCTGGGACCCTGTCTTCCTGAACTGGCATCTGGTTTCCTCAGCTCCGACCCCCTTGCCGCCAGGCTGCACAGCATCCTCACTGACGAGGCGTTTGAGTTTCACTGTAGTCAGTGCCACAAGCAGATCAACCGCCTCGAGGACCTCTCTGCTCGCCTGAGTGATCTGGAGACCAATAGGTAACCCCCTGAGGGGGCCCGCCTGCCGCAGGAGCAGCCTAGGGTCCCTGCATGCTGTGGCCCCGGGCCTGTGTCCACCCTGGCCTTGTGCATGCGACCCTCCCTGCTCGTGTCCCCTGGGCGGAGGTGGCCTCTGTGTGGCAGGCTCTGGGCACCGTGGGCACTGTGCTGTGTGGCCTGGGAAACTGCTGTGAAACTGGGACCCAGAAAGTCCCTTCCTGATCCTGACCACTCAGGCGATTCAGGAAGCAGAGTGGGTCTTAGCCACTAGTGCTCAGGTGGCTAGTGCTCAAGGCGCCCACGGGACACTATGGTGAGCACTGCTGGGAGTCCACATGGCAGCCTGGTGGGCAGTGCACAGGGCCTTCAGGAGATTACAGTGGTCAGTGCTTAGGAGCATACGAGACAATATGGTGGTCAGGGAGGATGGCGTGCCCTGGAGGGGAACATGGGCAGCATTGACCAAGTTCTGGGAAGGACGGCAGGCCCTGGACGTGGCGAGGATGAGGACAGGGCAAGCTTCCTCGGGGCCTCCATCCGTTTCTCTAGAGGAGACTGCTTCCCAGGCCCGGCCAGCTGGGGAGAGGCCGTTGGTCCTTCCCGTGGACAGACTTGCCAGTGGCCAAGCATGGGCGTGTGGGCAGCTGTCACGGAAACATGAACCTTGGTCTAAAGCCTCCGTGTGAAAGTGCTCCCATCCCACATCGAGGACTGAGTGGCCCTGGTCCCCTCTTCTGGCTTTGTGGAGCCAAGAATGGCCTGAGACTCGGCCACCTATAGCCTGGAGTCCAGTGGGTTCCCACCCCATCGCAGCGCCACCTGGTGGTCAGTGTCACCTAGTGCCCTGTCTCAGAGGGCGCTCGCTCTCAGCTTTTCCTTTCCCACCGAGAATCTGTAACTCATGGCGATGGCCGCACAGAACCAGAATCCTCATGACTAAAGGATTTGAGGACCTCTGGTGCGGGAGAGGCATGCTTGGAACACAATGTGCAGTCAGCATACATGACAAAGCTCCTTCAGGGCTGCTAGCAAATGCCCACAGAGACTTGGCTCCAGCTCCGAGAGGCAGCAGCCCAGCCCCCTGGCTCAGAGCCCAGGGCCCTCGGGTTGACGTGCTCAGTGGGCTGGGCAGCCCACTGGTCTGTCTCCTCGTCCTGCTGCTGCTCCTCTGATGTCACAGCTGCCTTGCGGATCCAGGACAGTCACTGCACAGGGATCTGGGGTCCGGAGGACGTGCTCCACTCCTGGCTCTTGCTGGTCATAAGGTCCCTCCCCTTCTGCTTCTCAGAGGGCTAACTCGACACCCAACAGGATGCACTCACAGTGAGTCCTGTTCCCAGTCACCCACACCTGCCAGCATTTCCCCCAGTGTCTCATCAGACCCAGGCAGACCCAGAAAAGGCTGTTTGGTGGGAGTTAGACTGTGACTAGAAGAGCCACCTTGAATATTATTGCCCCTGTGGCCCCACATCCCCAGTCAGAACCCCAGTCAGAAGACCCCACTGGGGAGACTTCGTGCAGACTGCCTGAGCTGTTGGCCGTGGCCCTGCCCTGTGAGCTCAGTGGCAATGGGGCATCCACGCAGTGAGCAGCATTGCAAAGTCCAGTGTCCGGGGAAAGGACGGTATCAGGATGGAGTCCGGTTCCTGTCCCAGCCTGCAGCCCACTCAGGGTTCAGTCGGGCAGGAGGCCATGCGGGGCTCTGAGCAGAGGAAGGGTGGGGAGAGTTCCCAGGCTGGGCTCAGCTGTCTGTGCCAGGGCCGAGGCTGTGCTGGTGGCCATGCTGGAATTCCACCTGCCAGGCTGCAGAGAGAACTGTTCAGAGGGAGCGTCTCACTGGAGGCATGTTCTGCGAGGCCACCGGGGAGGCCCCAGGGCTCTGCTGGCCGGGGAAGCCTTACAGCCCAGGACCTGCAAGGAACCAAGGCCGACCCTTCCAGAACCAAGAGCAAGCCTTCCTCCTGCACTTTCACCAGCGCCCTCTACTGACAAAATCTAGCATCTGAAATTAGCAAGGATCCCTTCCCCAGAGCTGGGAAAGGGTCACCATGGCTCTGCGTGGCCGAGACTTGGTAACTGGTGGCCCCACCTACCGTCCCCAAAGGGGCCTCCTGGCTGTGCCCGAGGGGAGTCGCAGAGGCTGCTGGGGATGGGCAGTGAAGCCCGGAGGTGGTGTGGGTCCTCATGTAGACGGAGGCAGGAGTTGGTGTTTAGGCTGGAAAGGTTTACGCTTGGACACTAGAGGTGAGAACTAAGGTAGATTTGATCCCTTTCACCTCTAGAAATGATCATTTGAGAGGACAGGGTGCGGCTGGCCAGGTGACTGCTCTGAAGTGGCCGCAGGAAAGGGGGCCAGGGTGGGTTAGACCATGACGGACGCCCCTGCTCCTAGCCAGGCCAGGTCCCTGTGGCAGGCCTTCTGGGGCTGAGTGTTTGGAGGGCCGGCAGTGACTTAACTTGGTGTGGGACATGAGGCGTTTGCCCAGTTCGGCTAGTGGGTGTAGGCACGGGCAGGGGCTCTGGGCTGTGGTCCTGGACCCTGCCATGGACACCAGGATATGCGTTCCTACGAGGCCTCACTTGAGCGCCAGGGTTGCTCTCTCTGCCGCTCCCACCCCCACCCATGGGGGCTGTTCTGCGAGGCTGTGGGGGCTTGTTGAGGGGGAGGCACGGGGCTATGGTTTATATGCATGGACCGCTTGGGGGCCGCATGCCGAGTGCCTGTTTGCCGGGCTGACAAGGACACTCCAGCCTATCTCTTCAGTCCAAATTTCCTGTCCCCCCTCCCCTCCTCGGGTGTGCTGACACGGTTTCCTGTGTGTTCTGATTTTTGCACAGCCCCACAAAGCGGCTTTCCAGCAAGAAGGTTGCAAGGTAAGCAAAACTCTATTGTTTCTGGGAAATGCTCTGCCGAACTGTATGGTCCACCCGTCCTTTCCCAGGTACGTAAGAAAACTTCTGAAAGTTGCTCTCCATGGTTTGGGGCTTTAGATCTTTTCAGGGTGCCAGTGTGTAAAGTATTTTTTGGGGGTGGGTTGGCTCAGACATGTCGTTGAGAGCGTCCAGCATTCCTCATTTATTGGGTGTCCCGAGGGCTGGTGTCACCACAGAGGACTCATGGCTGAGCTCACTCTGGGACCTAAGTGGCCCTGACCAGTCCAGTCCAGCACTGCCTTTTCCAGGTGGTGGGGGACTCCTGACACAGGGTCCCCGACTAATGCCTGACCTGGCCTCCCCTGTGTCGGCCAGTGTGGTGCCGTAGTGGCCACAGGGAGCTTGGCGCTGTGGGTGCCCCTCGTGATCGGCTCCATGCTTTTCTTTGCTGCTGCTGCCCCACTGCCCTGTGTGCTGAACCCTGCTCTCCCTCCCTTTCTGGACCTGTAGGAAGGAGCCCGTGGTCCTCCTGCCCCAGCCTCCCCTCGCTGTCCCTCGTGGCCGGTACAGGGCCCCCAGCCCTCCAGACCCCTACACACACACACACACACACACACACACTCCTTGTGGTCATCAGAGTTCTCGCTCTCAGAACCCCAGGTGGTGGTGATGTCCCTCGGGTGTGGAAGGTCCGGTTCTGTCTCCTAGGGCTGGGCTTTTTCTGGTGGGTGCCTTTCCCTGTTGGAGCCTTGGGGACATCGCCTTTATCCCTGGATTCAGTAGTGAGTCCTTTCGGACCTGGTGACTCTTAGCACCACAAAACTTGTTCTCTGTCCAGGAGCTCTGGAAGATTCCAGAGTGGTTTGCTTGTGACATCCCCTGCCCTGCCGGCCCCTTTCTTTCCGTGGTCCTGCTGCATCAGTGGCGGGTTTGGTGTGCCAGCCCCCCAACTTTGCTGTGCTCAGTGCTCCCACTGCAGGGTGCCCCTTGGCTGACTCAGACTCTTATGGGGCACACAGCTCTGCCCCACAGACCTGCACTTTTGACGGAGGTACACTCACTGCCGGGTGCTGTGAGCATGAGGTGGCTGTCTGGAAAGGACTCGGTGGGTCCTGTCCCTCCAGTCGCTGTCTGTGCCCACCCCCTGCAGACCCTACCCCCGGGCCCACGGTGCATGTGTGAGCCGCAGGCGCGAGGACCATAATGGAGGCTCTGTGCCCAGTCCCCTCGGGGTCAGGCTGGTCACAAACTTCCCCACCCAGTGATGCCTGGGATCTGCAGTCCAGAACATCCCGGGCACCCAGTCCGGCCGCAGCGCCAGTGCCATCCTTAAGCAGCCCTCGGATGTTTCTGGGAAAAGCTCAGTCAGGGTCGAAGCACAAGTGGAGCCTGGTAGATCTTGTGAGAATGTTGGCAGGCCGGCATCACACGGCTGTGCTCTGGTGACAGTTTGGAGCTGACCTCCAACAGATGGGCTGCACGGTTGCTGCAAGCAGTCCGAGCACCGCCCAGGGTGCTGACAGCTGCAGAGGGGCTGGTGGGAGGGGTGGCCCCTGGGTTGAGACGTGGCAAGGGGAACCCTGCAGAGTTACTGCTGGGTTACAAAGTGAGTGTCCCCTGTCCCAGATGTCACCCTGGTCAGGCAGCCCCTGGCATGGGCCACAGAGCTGGGCACCTGAAGGCAGGGTGGAGCCATTGGACTGGGCACCTGCGGGCAAGGTGGGGCCCTGGGACTTGGGCACCTGCGGGTAGGGTGAGGCTGACAGGTTGGGCATCTAGGGGCACAGTGGGCTATCGAGCTGCCTCCAAAGTGCACAGGCAGGCACACAGGCCCAGCTTGTGGTTCCAGACACCCTGTCCCCCAGGTCGGTGGTGTGGCTGCATGGGGAGGCCTTGGGGAAGGCGGTGTCAGGACCCAGCAAGGAGTTTTATTGCCACAGAGGGCAAAGTCCCTGCCGAGGTCAGGCCACTGTCACACTCCAGAGAGCATCGGGCTGCTGCTGGGCGAGGGTGTCTTGGGATCCCATGCTGCCCTTCGGGTGGGGGCACCCCCCTGCCGAGCCCCCATCTCTGAGTGCCCTGCTGCATTTCTGCCTGGCTCCCCTCCTTCTGGTGTGGGACGCCCTCCTGCTTCTTGTCCCCAGGCACCTGCACCAGTCGGGAGCCCTGACCATGGAGGCTCTGGAAGGCCTGCCCCCCGGCCCCTCGGACGGCATCGAGGAGGCCATCGCTGACAAGGTGGGGCCCCCAGGCCTGCCCCTCCCCCGCAGCCCCATTTCCCTGCCCCCCAGGCCAGGGGGCACCATGCGAGGCAGGCCCAGCCTGGGCCTGGCTGCCCGCTTCCTTCTGCTCCAGCGCTGCCTGCCCCCAGGTGGTCTTCCTGGAGAAGCGAGTGTTGGAGCTGGAGAAAGACAGCGCTGCCAACGGGGAGCAGCACAGCCGCCTGCGCCATGAGAACCTGCAGCTGGTGCACAGGTCAGCTGGGGCAGGGGCTGGGGCTACCACCGGGGAAGAGGCCTGCCTGCAGGGCCTGGGGTCCCCAAGCACAGGCTGTGTCTCAGGTGTCCCTGCCTCCCTTGTCTTTGTCAAGGCTGTGCGGACCCCAAGGTGTCTTTTCAGTGGGCATGTGTATTCTGTGAGGTCCACCCCTCCTGGGCCAGCCCCCAGTTCTTGTGGACACTGGTGTCACCTCCGTGTCAGTGCAGCCTCGGGGGCTGTGCCCCTGGGAAGGTCCCCTGCTCCCTCTGCCCTGTGTCTGCCACCCTGGAGGCCCTGGAGCCAGGTGTGGAGCTGGGGGCAAGTGCCACTTCAGAAGACCCCCCGGCCCGCCTGCCTGCATGCCCAGCACTTGGGTACTCACTCACCTGCCTGCGCAGAGCCAATGCCCTGGAGGAGCAGCTGAAGGAGCAGGAGCTGCGGGCGGGCGAGCTGGCGCTGGAGGAGGCGAGGAAGCAGCGGGAGCTCCTCAACAGGATGGAGCGGGAAAAGAGCATCGAGATGGAGACCCTGCAGGCCAGGTGGGCGCCTGGGAGAGGGGACGGACAGATGGACGGGGCGTCCTCAGCCAAACCAGCTCCCACAGCAGCGCCTGCTGGGAGCTCTGGCTCCTCCGATGCCACCCCTGGTGTACATGGGGTGGGGTGGGGTGGGGGGACACTGGCAGGTTGGAGGGAAGGGCGGGGCCTGCTTGCACTGAGCGTGCAGCCTCTCAGAAACTCGTGCTGGGGACCCACAGAACGACGTGTAAGGGGCGTGTCTGTCAGTGCAGAAGGCCGTGGGAAAAGCCCATCATCTTGTTAAACCCTTTCTCCACGGACCTTGTCGAGTCTGTGAAGGTGAGACACAGCAGGTGACCAGAAGACCCCTTAACAGAAGAACGGTTAGTCTCTAAGGGGAGTCCCTGCAGCTGCTGTGAGCCTGAGTGTATATGCCTGCGTGTGTGTACAGGAGTGCCTGTGTGTGGGTGTCTATGTATAGAGTGCCTGTGTGTGGGTACATGTGCACAGGAGTACCTGTGTGTGAGTGTCCATATACAGGAATGCCGGTCCATGCACAGAAGTGCCCTGTGTGGGTGTCCGTGTACAGAGTGCCCGCGTGTGGCTGTCCGTGTACAGAGTGCCCGCGTGTGGCTGTCCGTGTACAGAGTGCCCGTGTGTGGCTGTCCGTGTACAGAGTACCCGTGTGTGGGTGTCCGTGTAGAGTGCCCGTGTGCGGATGTCCGTGTAGAGTGCCCATGTGTGGGTGTCCGTGTACAGAGTGCCCGTGCGTGGGTGTCCGTGTACAGAGTGCCCGTGCGTGGGTGTCTGTGTAGAGTGCTCGTGCGCGGGTGTCCGTTTACAGAGTGCGCGTGTGTGGGTGTCCGTGTACAGAGTGCCCGCGCGTGGGTGTCCGTGTACAGAGTGCCCGCGTGTGGGTGTCCGTGTACAGAGTGCCCGTGTGTGGGTGTCCGTGTACAGAGTGCCCTGTGTGGGTGTCCGTGTACAGAGTGCCCACGTGTGGGTGTCCGTGTAGAGTGCCTGTGCGTGGGTGTCCGTGTAGAGTGCCTGTGTGTGAGTGTCCGTGTACAGAGTGCCCTGTGTGGGTGTCCGTGTAGAGTGCCCGTGTGTGGGTGTCCGTGTACAGAGTGCCCGTGTGTGGGTGTCTGTGTAGAGTGCCCGTGTGTGGGTATCCGTGTACAGAGTGCCCGTGTGTGGGTGTCCGTGTAGCGTGCTCGTGCGCGGGTGTCCGTGTACAGAGTGCCCTGTGTGGGTGTCCGTGTACAGAGTGCCC